CCCCAAAACCCCAAAACCCCAAAACCCCTCAATAATTAAATCGTAAGAGTAGTCAGAATACTGATGAAATTAATTAAAAATAGAAATATAATTCTTATAAAAAAACAATGGTAGAACCATCATCATCCTAAAATAAAGATAAGAATTAAAACACGCAACAAGAAGAAAGAATCATTACATTTGATGTTCCTTGTGAATAATAAAATATGATAACTTCTTACAGACTAGTCAGACGTAAAGAGATAGGAGGCCCAGCTAATTTCAAGGTTAAATACTCAGCAGCTATTTTTCCATAATCTCGATAGAGGAAAACTCTTGAGTATCTTTAAAGATAGAGTCAGAGGAAGAGCCAAACTAAATTAAATCAATCTCAAAATGAGGCAAGCAGAAAAAACGATTAACAATAGATTGAAGACGAGCCAATAACAATGGAAAATTTAGAGAAGGATCATGGATTGTATGTGATTTGCAAGAATACGCCCTCTACTGCTGGTATTGTGATCATTAAAGATTATCTTAATGGGGTTTATGAGGACCTTGATGTTCCGTTTAGTGAGAATATAAGAACCAGCTCAATTGCAATTAATACTTATCCCTTTAAAAAACTACTTAAGCCAGGAGAGCAAGTAATTGAAAATCTCTAGAAATATCATAATGATGGAAAAACTTTGGCCACTACTTAAACACCAGAATTACTCTATCAAAACTCTGACTACTACCATGAAGATATAGCACTCATTATGGGTACTATGGATGGAAGCATTTATATATTTGACCCTGTAATTAGAGGCAAGCAACCTTTAAAGTTTTATCATTAAGAATAAGACAAATAAAGACAGTCTGTAGAAATTGTGAGATGGATAGAGCCTAGCCCTTAAAATAAGTTTTCATCAAGATTCCTAGTAGTATTTTCTGATAGCTCAATTGCCTTTTATCATAAGGATAAGGACTTTCAATAATACTATGATCCTGACAAAGATTTCATAAAATCAAAGAATGATCAAAAGATCTCAAAAGGCCAGATAATGAAGAGAATGAAAACATTTGTAAGTGGGTATAGCTTTGATGATTAGTATAAGAGTGGCAAAAAGTCATCTGGCCATGTGAAAAAAGATAACTTAGATCAAGCTCAAAGCATAGTCCATGGCTTTAGAATTGAATTCGATCTGCTTAAAATGAAGGAGAACATCTGCTATAAAAAGTTCTTGAATTACATTGCTGTTTTGTATGACTCTACATCCCCTGAGATTAATCCTTATTAGATGATGAGATTCGATTGCAGATCTATAAATGATATTATTACTTTTTACCCAAATCAGGACAGCATGATTTTAGCTGCTGCTTGCAATGATAGTTACATAAGAATATATGACTACAAGGAGATGAATATGATAGCTTGCCTTAAAGGTATATTTGGAGCACCTCTGAGTCTGGATATAAGTTCAGATAAGAATCTGCTTGCAGCTGGATTCGAAGACGACACCTTTATTATATATGGAGTAAAGATGAATTTTACTCCTCTTTGCAGAGGTATCGGTCATAACTCTTTTGTAACACAAATAAAATTTGATACTTACCTTACTGAATAACTAATCAAAGCCTAAAGACTAGAGGCTTAAAGACTACAAGAAAAAGCTATACTCTAAGCCAAAGTATTTGATGATAAACTTCTTTAAGGACTCAGAGACGATCCTTATAACTTCCCTATTGAGGAAAACTAGACTTAAATCTTAGCAGAAACCTAACTGATATAAACTAGACAGAGAAAAGATTCAATCATACACTAGCTAAGATAAACAACTTAAAGAAAGACTTCGATGACTCCAGAGCATTTCAACTATAGAATAGTAACAACTGGGGATGACAGCAAGATCTGTTTTTGGATTTATGAGAGATAGGAAAACTAGAGTTTGAACTTTAGCTAGAAAATGTCTCATGCAGAGATAGTAGCCGAGTAAAGCAAAATTATAAAACTAAGGCCATTACAATCCTTTAGCTTACCAGGAGGACAGATTTAAAGTTTGACTCTCTCCAATGAACACATATTTATCGTCAACTGTGATGGGCAAATGACTATCTTAAGAGGCTAATACAGATTAAAAAAGACGGCTGAAAATGAAGGTGATGATGAAATTGACGAGGAAATCTAGATAAAACCAGATATTATTCCTCCTAAACACTAAGATAAGTCAAAAGATAATTTCATAGAGAAAACTGAGGAGATTGAATAAAATCTATCAAATAATAACAAATGAACAATAATAGTAAGAATTCAAATTATAATTTATCAATATTCAAAATGAATCTCAGAAAGAGGGGTTTTGGGGTTTTGGGGAGATCGGAAGAGCG